GAGGAGGAGAAAAAGAAGAAGAAGAGGAAGAAGGTGGTGATTATGATGATGACGATGATAATAATTTTAATGACGATCATTCAATTTTATTCACATACAAAAACCTTCAATTATCTAACCGGGCCTCACATTAGTGAGGTAAAGAATATAAAAATTATAGATGAATATTATATTTTCTCCCTCTCCCTCTCTCTCTCCATCTCCCTTCAGAACTTACAAAAAGCATTGGAGTGTTTGTTTACCCATCGTCAGCCCAACTGGTACCCTCTCCCTTACTCCCATCTGCCACGCATCTACAAATTTTGTCTGAATGACCAGCCGCCAGGAAACACGGAGAGCCACCTCTTCGCCAGCAACATCCCGCCCAGGACCGATCGTCTGCTGCAGGCCAGTGTCTCCTACCCCTGGGAGTACCTCACATGGAAGTATTACTGAATGTAGAATACAAGCAGCCTAAAATATGCACGGAGAGGAAGGAGAAGTTAAATATTATGTTAATTAGCAGTATTTAAATAATTAAAAAAAAAAGTTTTCAAAAAGTTAATTGAATATTTGTTTTAGGACGTTGCAGAACCAACCCCAGCATTTTTTGTCTGTTGTGGTTTTTGTAGACAAATTTACCTCCAGTAGTTTGCCATTGCTTTTTGTGCGGTCGGCTTCTCGATACCACTGTCGAAATCAACGTAAGGCGCAAGGCCCGCAGCTGGGATTGAACCCGGCACCACGGAATTAGGAAGCGCGTTCGCAACGCCTAAGCCACAGACGCCTGGACCTGTCTTTAAATAATGCGGACATAAATAACAGATTGCACAAGTCAGTGTCTGGCATATTTCGAGGCAAAAACCTGCACAAATTCCACCTACTTAAATGCGAATGGTCTGTTTCAATGCTTCGTGTTCGTCTAGCTGAAAGAAGTTCACTGTTATCACGTCACTTACCAGGGTAACTCCAAATTGACTACGCATTCCTTCTGCTTACATAAGAGAAGGTTGTTCATGTTTATTGTTAAAGCTTCGGTCACTCTCAGCATTCGCCAGTTCAGTGTGTCGTAAATCACACGGAAAGCACTGTCCTTGTCAATTACATGTCCTCCCCGTGTGGTTCCGGGGCCCCATCGTGGGGAAAACAAGAATAGACCCTCCTGCCTACCCAAAAGCATGTCGTAAGAGTCGACTAATTGGGGAGCTTCCTTTGCAGTCGGAGTGCATCTGCCTGAGAGGCAAGGAACCAACAGTCTGCATTCAAGTGAATCAGATCTGTAAAACTGATGCACACGCAACACTCAGGTTCTGGAGCAGGACTGCAGTTCAGAAGTGGACAAACAACCAGAACTTTACATCAGTGTACAGCTGGTGAATGCGAAGAAGAATTAGATGTCCAAAATCAAGCAAATAACGTCCTATAGAAGAAGTGGATACTTTCCGTACTTTCCTATAATAAAATGTGCACTGAATTGTTTGTGTCCGCTTTATTGATATTTATTATGCCTGCCTGTCTGTCTGTCTATACGTCTGTCTGCCTGCCTGTCTGTCTGTCTGCTGCCTGTCTATTTATCTTTCTCTTAATTTAATTTCTCTCTCTCTCTCTCTCTCTCTCTCTCTATATATATATATATATATATATATATATATATATATATATATATATATATATATATATTACCACACCTTCCCCGCCCAATTCTTCTTTGTCTAGCGGTATACACACACACACAGAGAGAGAGAGAGAGAGAGAGAGAGAGAGAGAGAAAGAGAGAGAGAGAGGGGGAGAGAGAGAGAGAGAGAAGGGGGTGGGTAAGTCCTTAAAGTCTTGACGCAAGGACAGAAACAAAAATATTTTCAAGAAGTGCTACTCATTAACATTTATTTAATTAAAACATTAAATAACGCCTTCAGTATGGCTCAAGTTGATTGAGAGCCTATGCTTCAATGAGCAGTCAATGACAGAAAATGCCTCGCAGATCCTTGGGCTTACATTATTTAAAAAAATACAACACCGGCATTATTAACCTAAAGCCCTCTTAAGTGGCTCTGCTAGGAAGATATACGATTTGAAAATTACAGTAACAGGATTGTTCTGTCAATAAATACAATCAAGTGTTAACGTGTCTTATTTATTTCGCAGTTTGTAGTTTGATTGCTCTGTGTGTTAAGCTGTAGCAGTTTTTCAGTCACCGCTCTTGAAGACCATTTTATTCTGTTCGGCACCAAATGTGACAATGGCAGTTTGTTGTTGTTGCTGTTAATTCATATACTGGTGCTTCTATTGTTGTGGTTACTCCTACTGCTACTGAAAATAATGATGAATGACCATTTCTATGCCAGTGAAAGAGATTCGGGTCGGTACACAGCAAGTAGCCGGCCACAACTCTAGCGCGGTTCTCTGTTGCTTGTGTTTTATGAAGTTTGGAAGACTGAAAGTTGAATCTATAGGCCAAGCATTTTGAGTCGACTGAAACCTGAAGATGACTTGTCTCTATCGGAATGAGGCTGGTGTAGGAGCTCTTCTTAAGTACAAAAGTACTATCTTCAAGGGAAATGTGTGGCAGACCTCTCGTTGCCCTCTTCAAACTTAGAATCAAGCAGTGTGTACGACCAGAACTGGAACGTCACATTTGTTTAATTAGATCTAGTTTCGTAATGGTTCCTCCTCCTCCTCTTCTTGTGCGTTAGCTCTTTAAAGATCGGTTGGTATACTGAACTGCATCGGTAGACAACAGATTAAATGGTTTGGCCGTGCAACAAGATTGGCAACGGAGAGGGGCACCACAAAGAGCAATGTTATACAGATAAAACGGGAACAGAACCAGAGGTCGACCACGCAGAATTTGGACAACAGAAATATCATAAACTCTGAAAAGTACTCTATATGAAGTGCTCTATATTTAAGTATGTTGCAAAATATACGAACAAATAGACTAGATGAGGCTGCAACACTGGGCAGGGAAGTGATGCTTAACAAGCTAGACGTGCCAAAGTCGCTTTGGTGGCAAGTGAACAAAACAGAAGTGTGAACAGATCATTGCGACGTAGATAGACTGGTGCAGCCCGAGGAGGAGAAGGAAAGGGGGGGGGGTGGGGGGGGGCGTGTGTCCGGGAAATCATTTTATTGGCTGTTAGAAACTACAGGCTGTTTTTGACAATCTCGTGAGAGAACACTTTACATCTGTGAATGATCATGATGGATCAAGGTCAGAATTTCCTGAGAAGTATTCGTACAACCAAGTGGTACTGTATCGTGTTTGACTCTATTCCTGATCAAGCACATCGTGAGCAGACGTCAGGGTTAGTGAGGTACGTGGAAGTTGATTCTAAGGGGAAATAGATCTGTGGTAAACAGTCCTTGCTTTTATCTAGATAAGCCAGGCGGATGTTAAGATCTTGTTTCAAGGTATCTTGAACCAGCTAGAGAAAGATGAAATGGAAGATTGTCGATCACAGTGCTATGACAGCGCTGCTATGATGTCTGACAGAAGTAGTATCCAACAAAGAATAAATGCGAAAAAAAAAGCTAATTGTGTAAATCAACTGGGACAAATCACTCGCTCAACTTGGTAGATGTACTTGCAGCTAAACAGGAGCCAATAGTTGTGACATTTATTGAAACTATACAGTAACTCAACGTATTTTTCTGTCGATCAACACGGTCTTGGGAAAACTGAAGAATTCCATTCCCTTGGTGTAAAGGTCTGAAACTAGGTGGGCAAGGGGAGATGCTGTAAGTCCCGTAAACAAGCAGGTTAAAAACAAACTGCATGTCCTCCAGGACGAGATAGACAAGACAAAACAGACCAGTGAAATATACAGTGACGCTACGCAATTGTATAAACCCATGTTGAGTTTTGATTTTCTGACATTGCTAGGATTCTGGGACAAGATATTCATTGTTACTGGCCCTGTGTTTAAAAGAGACTACAAGATTCTAGCATGAGTTTTCATGATGCTTGATCTGAAAGTGTCTTCGATATCATTTTGATGAGAAACGAGAAGTGTGGGTCAGTAGATTATTAGAAACAGGTCATAATCTATGTGAATAATGAAATGTTTAAGTATAAAAGCTTGGAGACGAAAGAAAGAATAGCTGGTGAGAACTCAAGATATACAGGGTTAATAGAGAAAGGGGAAATCGATAGGGTCATTAAGGTAACACTCGACTGTCTTCACAGAGATATGTCTGAGCTTGTATACTTGTTAGCATAACATAGATATAAAGTTTTTGTCCCACCTCGAAGCTGATGGGCCCAATTATTGTTTCGGCAAGGACCTAAAGCAGAAGTATGAGAGTTTATATGAATTTTACATCTCTGCTATTGATGGCCAACAGCTATATGAAGAGAATTTAGATTGCATAATTCTGCTGTCGAGGAGTACCAACATCAAGATAGCACGACCTGAAAACTTCTCAAAATCACTGGTCAGTGTGGAGGTGAGAGTGGCTTTAATAATCTGAACATTTCTAATCAAATTGAAACTGCAGTTTCAATTTGCCAGCTGCGAAATATCTTTCATCAGAATGAAACTCATTTTTGATTATTTAAGGGCATCTATAGGACAAACAGACTCTGTTGTCTTGTTCCACTTGGCGTAGAAAGAAGAAATTGAGAAAACTGACTTTGAGCACATACTAAACCAGTTCGTGTCAGTGAAAGCAAGACAAATGTATTCGTAGTTATAATCTTCTGTCAGTAAAGTGTCATGATTTCCTAATAAAGATTTTCTTACCTGCTAATTTGATATGGGAAAAACATTATTAAAATAGTAAAAAATAGTGTATTACTTATACGAACTCGTGAAACTGAATATAAAAAAACTGTTTTTCGGATAATTACTGAGAAGTTAAGGAGAAAAAAATATAAAAGTTTATAATCGATCCAGAAACTGGTTTATAAGTTAAAGATTTAGATTCATTTACCACAAAAACATATCTCCGGAAACAGCAATAATGGCCTATTAAGATAATTTTTAATTCAGTAGAGTTGCCGTCTCCACTGTCTTGTGCAGGAGCTGGCGAAGTTCATCAGAGATCAGCTGCGAGTTAGAAACGATGTGAGAGACTTCGACGTGTATGAACTCAGGCAGAACTCCATCTCGCGCAACCATCCGTGCGGCAAACTCCGTCCCAACTTCAGTTACCAGAAACACATGCACGAAGTCGAGCAGATTATCAACGCCCGGCTGACCTTTTTCCGCAAAAGAAGCATCTATTACAGGTCAGTATGCGTGTTGACAGTGCGTTCAGGGTCGGATTTAGACTTTATGAGGCCCCTGGATAGAAAAGGCTCTGACGCCCCTGCTGTTTTAAATTATATACCAGCTAATATCAGAAACTATATAGATAATAGAAATATATTATCTTTTAATTTTTAGTAAAAGAAATAATAGTAATAACGAATGTGTCTGCAGAATCACAGAAAACGCTGACTCTCAAAAGAAGCAGCTCACAAAATGGGACTAGTTATCAGTCAAGATAAGACATAATACATGATAATAACGAGACAGGGAAATGATATAAACTCTGACCACATACAAGTCGATTGTATGCAAATCAAACGAAAGGAAACATATAAGTATTTGGGTGCAAACTTCAACTGCTCCAACATGCTGAGAGAAGAAATACAATCAAGAATGCAATCTGGAAATAAAGTATACTATGCCCTTCAACATCTGCTAAAGTCAAAGTGTCTGTCTCGCAACACCAAGATCAAAATATATAAAACGTTGATAAGACCAGTCGTTTTATATGGCTTTAAAACTTAGAGCGCAACTAAAAGAGATACAAATTTTCGAAAACAGAGTATTAAGACGAATCTTTTGACCCATCAAAGATGCAAACAGCAAGGAATGGAGAGTAAGAAGCAATAACGAAATTTTTAACCTGTTTAAATCACCACTGATCACTGGCATCATGAGATCTAATAGACTGAAATGGCTTGGACATATTGAGAGAATGTAAAAAAAACAGAGAGGTAAAAACTGTATACACAAGGGAGTTGAATGGTCGTAAACCACGAGGCTGACCAAGAAGATGGAGAGATAATGTCCTGGCATACCTGCAAACACTCGGTGTCACCAAGTGGAAAGAAAAGGTCAACCAGAGAGATAAGTGGAGGCTGGTGATATCTACAGCAATAAACCTCAAGGGCTCGGAATGCTGAAGAAGAAAAAGTCTACAGAATCACAGGAATTATATTATATTGCCCTCTTAAAGGCGCTATACAAATATTCATTTGTGGACAGCCAAAAAGAGCAACCACGAGGTTTTGAAAGAGGCGGGAGCCCGAAGACAACTTATCACAGACATGAAACGCAGTCAGTCATCACCTTCACAGCATCGAGTCCTCTAATAACATATAGGGAATCCATACACCGAAAGACGTTATCAACAAGGAATCACTCAATAGTCACTGAAATGAGAAACCAATTAACTAAAAACCAGGCCGTCCAAGAGAAACCCTAAGATGAACGTTGAGAAAGGCCAAAACTGCAGGACTCGATTCCAACCACAGTATCAACAGATATGGATACAACGGACTAGACGACTAGAGTGCCAGCCCCAAATTCCGACGGAAAAAAAAAACTTTTAATTAGTCACCTTCTGTGACATTTATTTTTGGGAGCACTGGCCTCCTCCCCCCCCCCCCCCCCCAAAAAAAAACAGTGGGCACTGGAAACCAAACGGGAGTCTTGAAACCACATGCAGTACTTGTGGAAGACAGTAGTTGCGGAAGACAAGACCGTACTTGTGGAAGACAAGACAGTACTTGTAGAAGACAAAACAGTTTTTGTGGAAGACAAGACAGTACTTCTCGAAGACAAGACAGTACTTTTGGGAGACAGTACTTGTGGAAGACAAGACAGTACTTCTCGAAGGCAGTACTTGTGGAAGACAAGTCAGTACTTCTCGGAGGCAGTACTTGTGGAAGACAAGACAGTACTTCTCGAAGGCAGTACTTGTGGAAGACAGTACTTGTGGAAGACAAGACTACTTCTCGAAGGCAGTACTCATGGAAGACAAGACAGTACTTTTGGAAGACAGTACGTGTGGAAGACAAGACAGTAATTGTGGAAGACAAGACAGTAATTGTGGAAGACAAGACAGTACTTCCCGAAGGCAGTACTTGTGGAAGACAGTACTTATGCAAGACAAGACAGTACTTGTGGAAGATTGTTATTACTACGAGCGGGTCTCACTGGTCACCGTGATGGACTACGATTTCCATGCCTCCTTATCTATCGTGGTATAAAATTATCATCTGGAAAAACTGAACAAATAGCTGTACGCCTCGACATTTTATATAACTCTGAACTCCTCCAGTTTTAAACAGTGCCTGGTGTGTACAGGACTTTACCAGCTGATCTCATTACACTGTTGAAGGTAAAAGGTGAAAAGATCAAATTCATTGCACCGGGTTTGATCCCATATGGCTCAGTCTCTCTCCGCAGAACAGCTAGCTGCCTGCCGAAAGCGTCGCACAGAGCACGAACTCAGTAGCTCTGGCAACAATCCCCAGGGATCTCTGTAAAAAAAATAGCAGGACTACGAGACAAACGGCTTGATCAATGTTCTCTTATTTTAGACATTTAGTACTAAAGAAAACAGGCTTCCCCAAATGGCCACTACGACTGCGTATATTGCAACACAATGTAATTAACTGACACTTTGTTCATCAGTTTTTTTTTCTTCTCATCGCATATCTCCAATTAAACCTTATGGTGTCAAAAACTGTTAATGGTTACATATTTCAGTGGTTGGTCCATGGCTGACTGGTGGGATGAGAAACTCCGAGCAGAAGAAAACGAAATGAAAGAGAAGCAAAAACGACTGGGTGAAGACGAAGACAAACGAATGATTATAGGCAACACACAACAGGAGCGTCTACGTCAGGCGGCTATGAGAGAAATCTCCTTCAGGGAGATCATCCCAGAGTGGAACCAGAAGTTACCCATCAAGCGAGTCAAATGTCCCAAAGATTTGCCAGGTTTGGCCGAGAGCTGTCTCAGTGAACGCAATATTGGACACCTCAACATGACCCCAGCCAAATTTAAGTGCCCAGCTTCTGTCGCCGCTCCACGGCCCATGACCAGAAGGCATAAGCCCATCGAGCGGTCCAGGCCATATCTACCCATAATCCTTCACTGGAAGAAGATGGACAAGACGACCGGTTATCCTCAGATCAAAGTCAGCGCTGGTATGTTCAAGTGCGGCTATTACACGGGCTGAACCATTCCTCAAGTACATTCTTTATATATAACTAAATAAGAGAATATTGCTATATAAAAAATGTAAAAAAAAAACACGATGTGGATGTCATAGGCACTGTTACTTGGAACTCAAGCCCCTTAAGACAACCCCTTGTTGTGGCGGGCTTCTTCCTCAACAATTTGCACAGCAGCCAAGTAGTTCCCCCTAACCATGTATAACTTGTTATCTTTTCAAATATTTGTTTACACATTTCAGTTTCAAATCGATTACTTTATTTGCCACTCTGCATGTAATAATGCTGGTTACTACATGCTAAAACAAACCCCCTCATTGTGCCCACCACACCTACTTGACAATTATAAGGGAGCTAAGCCCCGATGTTCTCTGTGTCAGTACCACCTGGTAGATGTTTCACTATTTACATTCATGTCACACTGCTTATGTCAGTCTTGTGTTCAACACACTGCTTATTGTCACTCTGTCACTCCTGTATTCAACGTACTGCTTGTGTCAGTCTTGTATTCAACACACTGCTTATTGTCACTCCTGTATTCAACGTACTGCTCGTGTCAGTCTTGTGTTCAACACACTGCTATGCTAACTGCTCTATACAGGACAGTACAGAAGAACTAATACCATGATAGCACATTTTATAACACTTTTCTTTACTCTGTGGAAACATTTCCTTAATACTAACATCACGCAAAAACAAAACAAGACACAAACATGGGAAATAAAATGACATTTAATAATCCTAGGCATGTGTTGTCTACATGATAACACAAAGTAAAAGATCTATTCTGCAACTTGCTAAAGTGCACAACAAAAATGACAGACTTTAATGAGAAAACAAAACAAGTTTAGCGGCAAGCTGCAAGCATGGCTCCCTTACAGCAACACCAAGCTTATGTACAATAGTTGCGCCAAGTAAAACAAAGCACAATTCTACAACAGCACAAGTACAATCAACAAGCAACGGTCAACCAACAAATGACTGGAGGGTCAATGAGTGCAGGCGGCAGCAAGTTTCTCAGCCAGTCAGAGGCATGGCGGAGAAGCACAACTTGAAGATGAATGGTGTTTTACCGCCTGTAGACAAGATAGACAAATCACATTTCACTGAGGAGAAGCACAGGATTTCCCATGAATTTCACAAGGCAAGCTCCTACTGCAACCACTGAAATGTCAACTACAAGACACTCCTTAACTCCATACAAAAGAGGGGAAAATATCATCGTCATAACAAGTATATCTATATCTGTGCTCATACGTGTTTTTAGCAGGTGGAGGACATGCTTCCAAATGTGTCTTCAAAACAATGATATTCTTCCTTTGTATGAAAACTTCTGGAGCACCCCGTATAAGTTGGCAAAACAACAAATAACAGTCAAGCTTTCCTACGGGACAAGAAATATGTATATGATGCTGGCAACAGTTTTTATAGACCAGTCAATATGTGATGGCTGAGGATGTTAATACAACTGCCTTCCACTTTTAGTTGCTCAGATGTGTGGCTTGAGCTCTGAAAACGGTCAGCTCCTGTCAGAACTGTGTCATACAGTTTACAAGTGCAACTTCTATGGAGGTCCCTGGGAACATTGGCTGTAACAACAGGGTTTGTGCTTTAAGCCACACTTACTGCAGGTGGCTATTTATTCTGCTTGGAGATACTGATCCAAATAAGAAAAAACTTGGTGCAATGAAGTCGATCTTCTCGACTGTAAACTATTTAAATGAGCTGAGGTAGTGTAGCTACCGACCCAAACACCCTGGGTTCAAAACCCACATCTAGCTGGATTTCTTCTTCTTCAAAAACTGACGCTGGCTCCCAGATCAGCCCACCTCAGAACGGGGGACAGGTAACATCCAGGGAAATAAACGGGGTCAGGATGACCAGATCAGCCCACCTCAGAACGGGCGACAGGTAACATCCAGGGAAATAACGGGGTCAGGATGACCACATTACCCACCTAGTTCTGACTAGTCCCCAGCATTTGTTGGCTGTTGTGGTTTTTCTAGGCAAATTTATGGCCGGTAGTTTGCCACTGCTTTCTGGGTGGTCAGCTTCTCGGATACACTGTCAAAACCAACACTAGACCCGTAGCTGGGATTAAATTCTGCACCATGAAGCTTGTTCACAACGCCCAAGCCACAGATGCTGACTTAAACATATGAGCCTAGCAAAATATAGCTGATGGGCCAACTGGCACAAAAAGATTTTTTTTTTTTACCTCTACTTTAATTACTGTGGTTAATATTCTCAAAATCAACTATTAGCAGGTAGTATCAATAATTATAAATGTCCAAACAGCATCAGAAATAAAAATGATAAGTGTTTATTACTTATTAGCATTGATAGCAAGGAAAAAAGCTGTGATTTGTATGCTGGAAAATTTGTTTTTAAAAGATATAGATGGATAGTCACAAACATAGGTGATATATATATATATATATAAAGATGAGAGAACACAAATCTATGGAAGTCATCAGAAATGAACACCTGGTACCAATCACAGAATCTGTAAAACAATCAGTATGTTGAATGATGCAGAGACATGCAGAACCATTAAGACAAATAATCAGCTACCACATTTATCAACTAATGCCTGTGCATAATAGAAGGAAATAAATGGTACCACAGAATCACTAAGGCAGAGCTCTGAGACATAAACAACACAAATTACAGTGAAATAAGACATGGGGACGGCCATGGATTTAGATCAGATGGGCACTGAGAAAACAAGGTAATACTGTAGAGCTAAAATCTCCTGCCGAAGGAACCCACAAAAATAAAGACTTCTGAAAAACATCATCATCATCAATTGCCAGGCTGATGAGTAGGATGGCATGTTTTGCCATTGCACATGATAACCAAAATCATGGATCAGGTCAGTAGTATCATCTCACTTCATCCATATAGATAAGCCAAGGGAGTATTATTTATCTGTCTGCTTTCCCCTTACTCTCTTTCCTTCTGTGTTGCCAGTCCTTACCAAGTTGCCAAGTCTATTCCTTTACTTAACACATCAACAACAACAACAGAACACTGACTTTCTACTTGTAATGTTTCTAACCAGTTTACAACTGTCAACTGTCTTGAGGAGGACTGCTTCATTTGTGTTTTTATCATTCAATGATATTCTTCTGAAATCTGTGAAATCATGACAATACTTGGCATCTTAAAAAGGTAGCTTGCCACTGCTTTCCTTGTTGGCAGTGACCGGACTGACCAGGTGACTGTGGTCACTTCCATTTCATGACAATACTTGGCATCTTAAAAGGGTAGCTTGCCACTGCTTTCCTTGTTGGCAGTGACCGGACTGACCAGGTGACTGTGGTCACTTCCATTTCATGACAACACTTGGCATCTTAAAAAGGTAGCTTGCCACTGCTTTCCTTGTTGGCAGTGACCGGACTGACCAGGTGACTGTGGTCACTTCCATTACTGTGTGAAAGTGAGATCATGACCAACAACCATGTGTCAGCTGCTCAATCCATCACCTGCTCTCATGGTTTCACATTCTCTGAGAGGACAACCTTGCCCAGGGTGTCCTGCAGGTGCCTCACTTCCCATCTGAGGATACCCCTACCCCACCATACAGGGGTGAATAAAATGAGAGATAACATGCAGCAAGCTGTACATTTTGGTATAAGAACAGTGCAATCTGGCAGCTTAGACATTCAATGTTGGTTTGGTGATGACCTTGCCACTTATCAAGATTCAAACAATTGACCCAGAAACAAAATTTCACCACAGTCAACATTTTAAAGAAAACCAACTCAATAAAATTACCATAGGATTACAAAACAAAAACTGGCCCTACCTGCAGTGTTGACAGGTGTGTGGTTCACCATGATTAAAGCTTCAATAGCATCACTTTTGTTTTCAAACTCCACAAGTCCAGTACTGCTACGTTCAGCTAAACAAAACAGAAGACAAGGTACTAACTTCATATTTAGTGTAAACATATTCATGTCAACAAAAACTTCATGTCTTAAAACCTGCCATTACTGCCTATATTTACCACTTTTGCAGTGTGGGTGGGGTAGGGGAAAAGGGAGGGGGGGGGGGTTATTTCATTGATCCTGAAGATGTAAGGTTGCATGTCTAGTGCTATTGCCACTTGACTAAGCCGGGCAGGATTTTTGTTGTTGCCACTGACAAATAAAATAAAAAAATCCTCAACCTTACCAAGGATTTGAATATGGATCTCCGACATGAGAGCCATTAGCTCTTAACCAGTTGGCCAGCAACTCCCCAGCTGCTTTTATTTATTAAGGCAATCAGCGAAAAATAAAATGTTCACTCACTTCTAAGGTTGCAAAACAGAGAGTATCACAAATCAGGAATATAACATGGATTTTCTGCCCAGTACATCAGATGTAAGCGGCGTCCGTGGCTAAGGCGTTGCGAGTCCGACTCGTGAGCCAGCATACTGCGATCGAAACCCACTGCAGGCTGCGTGGATTGTTGTCGTGGTATGGGACGTCGCAGGTCGAACCAGCCTAAAATGGGTACCAGGATTGGCTGTCCTGGGAAAGTAAAGACAGCCGGCATAATGCTGACAACATTACCCACAGAGTGCTGATGGTCTGTAAAAATATGGGACGCTCTGCCCATATGCCCGATACGCCTAAAGGGGTAAAAAGGGATCTTTACTTTACTTTACTTACATACAGATGTGCAGGCTAATGAGGAAGCTGATAGGTTGCTGCTGCTCCTCTGGGCAGTGAGCTTCTTTATGATTTTAATCAGGTTGCGCTGGCATCATTAGTCTGAGAACTCTTCAGTGGTGGGATTTTGCATTCTTCCAATAACCAGAGGTATGTCATATGTTCACACTACAGAATCCTATTTATCTCTTTTTTTTTTCTCAACTCCTGGAATGCCTTGCAGCATCATGGCATCCCAATTACTATTAATTAAAACAAAACACACACAAAAACTGAATGACTAATATAATTTTTCTGAAACAAAACGTCCTAGTCTTTAACTAGCATGTGAAGTAAAGTACCCTTTCCACTCCTTTTAGGCGTATAGGGCATATAGTGCTATACCTGTATTTTATAGATCAAGATGGGTAATGTGGTCAGCATCATGGATACTGCCTTTACTTCCCGGGACTGCACCTGGTACCTAACTTCCGGGGACTGCACCTGGTACATAACTTCCGGGGACTGCACCTGGTACATAACTTCCGGGGACTGCATCTGGTACCTAACTTCCCGGGACTGCATCTGGTACCTAACTTCCGGGGACTGCACCCGGTACCTAACTTTCCGGGACTGCATCTGGTACCTAACTTCCCGGGACTGCACCTGGTACCTAACTTCCCGGGATTGCATCTGGTACCCACTCAAGGCTAGGTCGACCTGGGAGCCAAGGTCATTTAAAAAAAAAAAAAGTTCAGCTCCGCCAGGGAACGAACCCACGACCTTCTGATCTGCGGCGAGTATCTAGCCACTCCACCATGGTGACTCCCTTTAACTCGCATGTGTCCTACTAAAATGTAAAAAGTGGTGAAACAGGGGTGCTTGCAATCAAGCCAATACCGAGAAATTATTCCAATGAACTATAACTGAAAAGCTAAATAAAAATAGGAAAGGGTATAGCTTACACCCAAGACAAAACGTTTCGGCCGGGGCCTTTCTCAGCATGAACTACACAATAATAAAGAGGAAGTGCAGTACAGTTGTTACTGTTGTGTAATTCTTGTGGAGAAAGGCCCCCGATGAAAATTGTTTTGTCTTGTCTGCATTTTGCTTGCCTTCCCCCTTTCGTTAAGGTACCCATTTAAGGCTGGGTAGACCTGAGTGCCAAGGTTACTTCTTTAAAGTATGGTTTTTGCCAGGACCTAAACCCAGGACCTTCAGATCCACAGGTAAGCGTCTAGCCGCTACACCATGGCAGAACCCATATGAGGACCATGCGAAGGGATCTGTGCTCTTAGCCGCAGTGGTCTTTAAAGGTGCAGATAACTATACAAACTGCTTATGAAAACAATAACAAATTACTTTGCTTTTTGTTTTATAAATAGTTTTTTTAAAAATATATTTTATTATTTATAATTAAACTGAAAAAAAAAATAATATAACAAATTATTTCAAATACAAATGTCCTGTTTCAAAACTGCTTGATGCCCCTTTGCGCCCCAGGGTTGAAGCTCACTGCGGCTGAAAGTCCAACAATATTACCTGGGCAGGCATCGCCCATTAACAAATATGGCAGGAGTCTTATCTATCTCTTGTTCTCATGCTTGTGTGCATGCATGCACACAAGTATATATCTCTCTCTCTCTATGCTCTGCTGTAAATAAAACAGAGAAACTTTCAGATCCATTAAAACAAGCAAATGATGAAATAGGTTACTCACTCTTTGACGGAAACTGTTTGATTTTGAGTGGCTGTTTTCCAATAGCATTCTCAAACAGCTGGGAATGAAAACAAGTGTACATAATACAGCAGTTAAAAAGACAATGACAAGACAAACAGAGATCAGTTATTCATGATAACCAAACAATGAAACAAGGATAAAGAGTTTGATATCAAATCTTTCCACACCGCAGTCAGAATGAAAACTAGCATGCATAAAGTAACCAGATTTGTAAACAGTAGATGAACTTGCTTTGAAATAATGAAGCACAGCATTAGAAGAAACAAAATACCATCTGACTTCAGCAGAATCTGTGTTGTTATATGCACATGAAACATGGACAACAGACAAACAAGCTGAAAAACATTTTTCTCGCTGTACTTTCTGAGAAGAATGCAAAGAATATGGTGGGATAGAAAAACATAAGAAGCAGTCCTCATTGAGACAGATGAAAGTCGTAAACTGATTAGAACAATAAGACATGGACATTCAATATTTGTTATGAGAAGAAATAGACTTGGGAACTTGGTGACAACTGGCAAGATTGACAGAAAGAGAGCTAGAGGAAGGCAATACCTGGACAGCCTTGCCAGATGGATGGGGCATGACAAAAACATTGAACAGATCCGAGACTGTGGTGATCGTGTGAGATGGTGAAACATGGTAGCCTAGGCTTACCGGTATGGCACATAATGATGAGAAATCACAGATGGAGCGTGTGCTGAATTAATACATGAATTTATCAATGTGATTCCATTTAAACAAAGGCTATCAACTGAATACACTAACGAGGTGAACTGTTTACCTCATTGATTTCCTCTTCAGTGATGCCTGGTGGGGCATTGAAAAAGTGCAGAACCTTTGAGGGACTCTGAATACGGTTCTTCTGGGCTGATTCAGGGTTGGTGAAGCGGTTGTTGCGGTTGCTCATAAAATCCTTGTAGGAAGATGTCCCATCTGGGAGTTCATGAGGATTTGGGACTTCCTGCAGGAATGCCTGCTTGGAGACGCTAAAAATAAGACATATATTATTAAACGCCAATTTGCTACCCTCTACATGTTAGAGAAACTTCTAAAGCTTTGTTTAAAGAAACAAACTATTTTCATAACTAGATGGTATTGCTTGTTTTAGAATCAATGTCTGGGAGGGAACCAAAGAACAAACTTTATTTTCAGTGTCACAAATTGGGCTTGCATCTTTTTCTCGGGAAGGGGCAGTCTTGCCACAGTTTTGGAGTGTTTTATAGAAACTGCTTCACTAACTAACTCAGCTCATCTCAGTGACCACTGATATTGCTGTGCCATGGTTTTGTATGGAAGTATGGTTCAGTAGTCAAGATTCATTCGAGGGAACTATGCAGCTGACATGCATGTAGCTATAGCACACACATAACTGGAGAGAGAAAAGGAACAAATGAAAGTTACAGGCACACCTTATTCAATCCCCTTGCCACAAATACTAGCACCATATCGCAGAAAATGCGAGCTGAACATGAATGATACGGGTACTGAGTCAGATTTGTGGACACAGAATGTCAAGTTTCAGGGGGAGAGAAAATCAGCAAGGGACTGGAGATTAAGGAGAAAAAAATTTACTGCAGATGAGTTAGGAGCTGCACATATGAAAAGCCCATGACTACAGGCTATGGCAAAAAATGGTCCTAAAACCCAAGCTGTGACTGTGGAAGACCACCAAGTCGCTCTTCTCAATCCAATGGGCTGTGATTCCCACGCCTTCCTACAGCACAATATAACACTCATCATCATCATGTGCCCTGCCAACTGGCGTAGGCACTCATGCGTCTCCAGAGATCACGACCCCTGGTTGACTGGAACAGCTCTCTTGATGATATTCCTCCAAGCTTTCGTTTCAGCCCATCCAGCATCATCTCTCTTGGTCTGCCTCTAGCCCCCTTTCCACCGATCTTTCCAGTTGTCACGATGTTCTCCAATGTCTCTCTTCTCATTACATGGTTAAAGAACAGTGTTTGTCTCTTTCTTATTGTTGTATATAGAGATCTACTTTCATTAGCCTCTTTCAAGCAATCCTCGTTAGTTTTTATTTTGGCCGTCCAAAGTATTTGTACCATTCATCTCAGAAACCACATCTCTGTTGCTTCCAAATTATTCTTAATTTGTTCAGCGACATTCCAACACTATATAACACTACGGTCTGGAATTACAGAAAGGTACCAATGCCTGAATAAATTGCACAAATAAAAGCGTAGACGCATTAGGACATCTTCCAAAGTCAGGGTAACAGCAGTTGTACATGTCAAGTTACGACAAGCATGCAATATCCTACCTCAACTGAAGCTTGTTGCCAAAGAAAAATGCATTATTTAAATTAGCTATGGCTCTTTCAACGGAAATGGGATCTCCAAGCTGAATCATGGCTGACCCCTCTTTGCTCTTCAGGAACTTGATCTGGAAAAATGACATGTAGAAAGATATATCATTAATACAATTCCTTATCTTGTGGCTAACCCCAAACATATTTTTATTTTTTTTTTGCTACTTCATACTTCAGTGAATTTGTGTTTTCCGATGGTCTTAAGTGACCCTTTACCCACAGGTTGAGAACCGCTGTGTTAGTGTTTAAAGTAAATAATAAGACCACATGTAAACATTCCTGATCTACATTCAGTGAGCAGACAATGGCAGGCTGATTATTCTGTAACTAATAAAAATGCTGCCAACTTACCCGAACAACGTTCCCATACAGACAAAAGAGGTTGAACAGCTTGTCGCAGTTTATTTTATCCATGTTGAGACCATATGCCATGCAGACAGCTCCCCCTGAGCCAGGACCTCCCTCATAGCCACCACGACCAAAGTGCTCCTGCTGCAAGAAGAAACACAAAATCAGTAATGTGACAAAACACATGTCACAATGCTATCTGGCATATATATTGGTGGAGGAGAGGGGCTGACCAGTAATACACAAAGGTGAAGCTGTGATGCTATAGGAGTTAGAGCGGTGACCTTTTAAGACAATTGAACAAAAGAACTATAGTTTTGAAAGGGTCACAAATTAGGCAGCATGCAGGACTGTTTCCCATTTGGCCCTTCCACACGCTGACCTAACACATTCCCAGTTTATTCTGATCAACGAGCAATGTTATGTTCCTGTCTACAAGACAGTGATCTGAGGTTAACACCTGTCAGTAATGTCTGGTGAGAGCACTGACACCCCACCTCATATACTGTGTCAGTAATGTCTGGTGAGAGCACTGACACCCCCACCTCATATACTGTGTCAGTAATGTCTGGTGAGAGCACTGACACCCCACCTCATATACTGTGTCAGTAATGTCTGGTGAGAGCACTGACACCCCACCTCATATACTGTGTCAGTAATGTCTGGTGAGAGCACTGACACCCCACCTCATATACTGTGTCAGTAATGTCTGGTGAGAGCACTGACACCCCACCTCATATACTGTGTCAGTAATGTCTGGTGAGAGCACTGACACCCCACCTCATATACTGTGTCAGTAATGTCTGGTGAGAGCACTGACACCCCACCTCATATACTGTGTCAGTAATGTCTGGTGAGAGCACTGACACCCCCACCTCATATACTGTGTCAGTAATGTCTGGTGAGAGCACTGACACCCCCACCTCATATACTGTGTCAGTAATGTCTGGTGAGAGCACTGACACCCCACCTCATATACTGTGTCAGTAATGTCTGGTGAGAGCACTGACACCCCCACCTCATATACTGTGTCAGTAATGTCTGGTGAGAGCACTGACACCCCACCTCATATACTGTGTCAGTAATGTCTGGTGAGAGCACTGACACCCCCACCTCATATACTGTGTCAGTAATGTCTGGTGAGAGCACTGACACCCCCACCTCATATACTGTGTCAGTAATGTCTGGTGAGAGCGTTTGCGTTTGCGTTTGAAAATGAAAAAAAAAAGGAAAAAATTTGGACAGCTTCAACCTGCCTCAGGGGCTTGGTTATATTTGTGTCCTGTTTTCTTTGCTGTGTTAGGTTTTAGTCCTTTTGGTGATTGGTTGTATCCTGTTAGACTGTGTGCCTGTCTTCTTTCGGTCGGAGCCTTTTGGTATAGGAGCGAGTTTCCTGGTTTAGGCTGCTTTGCCTGCACGTGATCACTGACTGTGCCTGGGCTGTCACCTTTCACACCACCACGAAACCGATAAGTCCGAGACTTTGCGAGCGCAATAACACGGCCCTTTTCAGGGACCCCACTTAACATCTTTTTGTTGCTTTTATTTTTTCGCATCAGGCATGTGCTTGTGCGTTAGCGGTTTTTTTTTTTTTTTTTTTTTTTTTTTTTTTTGGCCGAGCATTTCTGTTTTGGCCTCTTTTTTTTTTTTTTTTAAATCGTGGGTGTTCAGTGTAGTGTATTGCGTGCTTTGCTTTGTGGATATTTGTGTACGTCTGTTTTAACAAATGTTGCCGTATGTTTGTGTGGTGTGTGTTGTGCAAACAAAAATGACACAGATGACCTGTGCATAGCATGAATACATACAATTGCAGGAAAGAGAAGGATGCAGTGGAAAAAAGGAGAGGAGGCCTAGAGGGTGCTACGTGGAATGTAGGCTTTTTAGGAAATAAAGTAAGGTCGAAGGAGAGAGTGGAATTGATAGCTTGCTAGGATGAGAGAGAGACGTCGGCGGGGCTGGATTTGCCGGTCCGGCGTCGGTTTGTTCTGGCGGCGTCGGTTTGCAGTTTTCTGCAGGTGGCTCGGAGCGGATTAGAAGTAGGTGTCCTTGCTGCTTGTCCTGCTGATAAACTGTTTGATCATTTTTTGAACTATGGGTGGGCCGTTAACTCTCAGGCAGGCCCGGGTAGTCATGGCTTCGTTTTTGGTTTCAAAGTAATTGGTCAGCTCTTTTCTTTCTTTCTTAAATTTGTCGCATTTTAGCAGGTAGTGCTCCGTAGAGTTGTAGGCCAGGCATTCGGTACACATTGGGTTGGTGGATTTGTCCTTCCAGAGACCCAGCCTTAGTCTCCATAGTGTGTTTATGAGCGGGATTTTTGTCGTATCTTTCACTTGGGATCTGGGGCTGGGTTCTTTCAGTATCCCGAATGCGTGAGAGCACTGACACCCCACCTCATATACTGTGTCAGTAATGTCTGGTGAGAGCACTGACACCCCCACCTCATATACTGTGTCAGTAATGTCTGGTGAGAGCACTGACACCCCCACCTCATATACTGTGTCAGTAATGTCTGGTGAGAGCACTGACACCCCCACCTCATATACTGTGACTTTGTACATGTAAAGATCTCAACACTTTATGCTCCATTAGTAGATACAACTGATTTGTTGTGTTTGTTACACACAAGTACTGGCTGGGCACAGCCACCATTAAATGTGTAAAAGGATCCTTTTCCATGTTTAAGGTGTGTTGGGCATATAGTGCTAGTGGTTTAGGTTCAGACAATGGATCAACATCATGGCACAAGGGTAGTAACCCAGAAGTGCTCAGTTCTGCTTCTAACTCAAGCCTGATTACAAAGAATCTCAGCACACTGCATGAACTCCGGCGAGGATCCTGAATTACTTTGGGTAGATTTTAAACTCCAAATTTTGCCCGGGCAGCGCAGTTAGGCTACTCTTATCGATTTCCAGCTGCCAGGGGCGTGGGGGGTTTAACGTGCGCAACAATACAAACAAGTGTCCGATCTTAAGTCCACCTGTAAACATCCCAGCCTTCAGTAGAGTCTGAACCTGAGACCTCTAGCACTCGAGTACAACTTAGCTACAATACTTTGGCTTACATCCGATTTCAGCAAGCATCCAATGTCACATTTCATGACATGCTTGAAAGGGCCAGAGTGTATGTGTGTGTGTGTCTACATATATATCAACAATCATGTCCTTCCTTCACGTCATGCCTGAAAGTCTCTTCTCCAGCCCTTCATGGACAATGAATCTGTAATGTCCTGTATCCACGTTAATCGAGGCTCAGCCTCTACATCACCGCTCATGTAGAAAATACCTCAGCTTTCCAGATAGGATGCTGTTTATTAGCCAGTTCTCCTTAATGTTCAGCTGATGCCGGATGTTCACGTTTTTCGTCTGTTTGGTCCAAGGTATTCTAAGAATTTTGTTCTGTAGCATTTCAGTTCAAAAGCTCAGACTTTAATATATATGCATATTCATACACTGACTTTATTATCTTTATGCCCTTAAATTATTAATCCTTTTTGTTTTAAAAAGGAGAAAGTAAATACTACTCACAACAGGTCCTTTGGGTCCATATCTTTCGCCTGGACCCCCATACGATCGAGGCCGTCCATACCCCTCATATTCATCATAATACCCTCCTCCCCCAGCTGGGCCCCCAAAATGCTGAGGCCCATTAGGTGGTGGCCCACCTGCCCCAAAATTGCCGCCAGCGGGTCCATCTGAAACACAAGTAACAACACATCTTAAAACCGTAACCCTGCAAGCAAACTGATCTTCCTGAAATAATAAGTAGACAAATTCCGCACCAAATGAACATCTGACTGGCCACCAGAAAGTTTGCCCCACACGAAGCAACACTACAAACTTGAATATTAACAAAACAAATTAAACACATCAGCAAAGAATTGTAAAATACCAGTCACCTGTGGCTGGCATGCAATATTAAGCACCGGAGCCAATTTCTTGTAGCTCTAAACCTGTCACCCAAGAAGCGGCAAACTCAGTATTTCTTGATCTGAATTTCTGTTAGGGTATGTCCCGGAGCAGAATAGTTAATAGCATGAGGCCCCTGCGTGTGAGTTCCGGGGCCTCATTTTGAGGCGGGCGAGGGAGACAGACCCACTGCTCCTATAACAAGCATATTGTAAAAGGCTACTAATCTCAACTGTATCTGCTTGAACAGGAAGGAACCTACAGTCTGCATTCAAATAAGCTAGATCTGTAGAATCAAACAATGGATGTGCATGCAAAAGTCCAGTTGCAGAACAAGATCAAATGCAGAAATGGATGAACAACCAGCCTTCTGCCTGAGCTTTGGGAACATCAACAAGAAACTTCTGCTTACACCTGTACATTTTTTCGTGGCCAGAAAATGAATATATTACTTAAAAACAGCATTGACAAGAGGTTTTTTTTTTCTTTTTAAAGTCACTCTGACGTCATATTTGTGCCCATAGTTGCAGTTAGAATTCACATGGGGGTCGCGGTATGAGTCATCCTATACATTTTTTGCCCCATGGATTGTATTGAATTAAATGCTTTACTGTGCTCGTACTCTTAATATTTCCCTTTATGTATTTAAAAAAAAAATGAAATGCAAAAAATTCAAAAAAGTATTAACGACTTGTGAGAAATGTGTTTTAAAAAAAAGGGGGGGGGGGGGGGGGGTTCCTTTTAAAGAATTTACTGGTTCCAGGCTTTCTTCCGGGGTGAAAGGGTTCAAGGCTGCCTGCTGTAATAAAGGCAGCTATGTTTTCTTTGTATTTTTAAACAAACCCGCACAAGAATATATTTTTTAAAAATTATTTAAGGTGACTGCGGCTTTCAGCTAGATTGGAACAAACATTTGTATTGAGAATTACATTACAAATGAAAACACATCAATTCTGTCTGTTATTTCACAAATGCCACACATACAGCTGGGTTGCTCCTTCACATACACTGGGTCACATCAGGTGGTGTAGTCAGTTCATTCCTCCTCCATGCCCACACCCTTTCCAGAACATTATTATACCACCACCTGTTTTGTTTTTGTATGGGCACTGTCCTAGTTGACCAACAAACAAAACTGTTTTGTTTTTTGTAGTTTTTTGTATGGGCACTGTCCAAGTTGACCAACAAACAAGGATGACACAGTAGGGACGTCATACGCAGCTGGGGCCCCAAATTAAAGTCAAGTAAATTTACACCATAACCCAAAAGAATGAGTGTGAAAGCAGCTACTGAACCATGCAGAAAACTTCCCAAAATTCAGTCAACCATAAACAAAACACAAAAGTTGACAACAGCCAGCATTTGTTGGTTAAAGGCTTCACACTCTACACTGAAAACTGATTGACCTGGGTTCCAGCCTAACATGGATAGTAATGAAAAAAGGATGTGGGGGGGGGGTGGAGAGAAGGACTACAGTTCAGGTAAGTCAAGAAATGAAACCACTGAGCTGTTCCTAAAATGGATAGTCAAGGTCCCGTTTTCACATCTTCAGGCCTACTGGGCATACAGAGTTAGGCCTATATTTTATAGACCAATCGGCACTCAGTGGGTGATGTGGTCAACATCACATCGGCCGCCTTTACTTCCCTGGTGCTCATTTAAGGCTGGGAGCCAATGTCATGGCTAAACAAAGTCCCGCTCTGTCAGGGCCTGAACCCACGACCTTCCGATCTGCAGGCGAGCTTCTAGCCATCAAACCATGGCAGCCTCCAAACTGGACAGCAGGTAATGTCATTCAAGTAATAGTGACTCACATGATGCTGACATCACCCAGTGAGTGCTGACATCACCCAGTGAGTGCTGACATCCCCCAGTGAGTGCTGACATCCCCCAGTGAGTGCTGACATCCCCCAGTGAGTGCTGACATCACCCAGTGAGTACTGACATGGTGTTGACATCACCCAGTGAGTGCTGACATGGTGTTGACATCACCCAGTGAGTGCTGACATGGTGTTGACATCACCCAGTGAGTGCTGACATGGTGTTGACATCACCCAGTGAGCACAGACATGGTGTTGACATCACCCAGTGAGCACAGACATGGTGTTGACATCACCCAGTGACCGCTGACATGGTGTTGACATCACCCAGTGAGCGCTGACATGGTGTTGACATCACCCAGTGAGTGCTGACATGGTGCTGACATCACCCAGTGAGTGCTGACATGGTGTTGACATCACCCAGTGAGTGTTGACATCACCCAGTGAGCACAGACATGGTGTTGACATCACCCAGTGAGTGTTGACATCACTCAGTGAGCGCTATCATGGTGCAGAAAGGCTAGGATCATATATGTCTGATGCATAAATAGTGCATTGGGGAGCTTTTACCAGCTTACTACTTTTGCTGTACTGGGCGATAAAAGGAGAATGAATAGTCATGTAGTCCAAATGTGAAAATAGTCATCCTAACTAACCAAGAAAGTAGGTGAACAGAAGCAGACAATAAGACATCCTAACTAACCAAGAAAGTAGGTGAACAGAAGCAGACAATAAGACATCCTAACTAACCAAGAAAGTAGGTGAACAGAAGCAGACAATAAGACATCCTAATTAACCAAGAAAGTAGGTGAACAGAAGCAGACAATAAGACATCCTAAAGTACACTGGTAGAAATTTATCAACATGGATGTGAATCCCAGAAACTGATCTGAGAATCAACACTTTAGCAACTTGTGAAACACAGACAAAATGTATGCCTTTTCAATGAAATAAAAACCCACACAAAGTGTGCATACTGTAGGGAACTGGGTGCGCACCAAATCTGGGCTCCTGCAAGAGAGGCTGTCCGCGTCCACTTGGTGGCTCTTTCCCTGAAAATGAGAGTAATTATTGGCTGATGTTTCACATACTCTAGAGGCACTATCTCACTTCTGGCAAAGCAGGATACCATTCACAACAGCAAACCAAACTTAATTTTAAACTGCCCTTTCAAAATTAGTCAAGACATAAGGACAAAATTAATAATTACCGATATGAATATTTAACTTTCATCAATACAATGGGTATACGATACTACTGGATATAAATACATTAATTCTAATTTCTATTAATTGGATGTTAAGAGGACATTTAACATTTAAAATAAAACTACTCTTATTTATACTTTAATTTTACAAAAAGGTAAAAATATGATATTTTGTACGAATAAATTGAAACAACTATTTTTTTTTAAGGCTCTCTGAAAGATAAATATAAACTTTTTGTAAAAAGGTAGTAATAGTCTTAACAATAATCTACAAAAAAAAAAAAAAAGAGTAATATGAGCTTCAATGATAATCTGCAAATATATAGTTATTTAGTCAAAATGACAATTTGTAAAGATAAGTCTTAATGATGATTTGTAAACATACAGAAGCAGATAGTCAATAATTGGTGAAGACAGTTATAGTCGGTAAAGACAGTTAATAGTCATAATGACAATCTGTAAAGATCATACAGTTTTAATGATGATCTGTAAACATACAGAGGCATACAGTCTTAATGATGGTATGTAAACATACAGAAGCATACAGTCAATGATAATCTGTGAAGACAGTTATAGCCATAATGACTATCTGTAAAGATAATAGTCTTAATGATGATCTGTAAACATACAGAGGCATACAGTCAATAATTGGTGAAGACAATTATAGTCGGTGAAAATAGTAATAGTCATAATGACAATCTGTAAAGATAATACAGTCTAAATGATGATATGTAAACATACAGTAGCATATAGTCAATGATAATCTGTGAAGACAGTAATAGTCATAATGACAATCTGTAAAGATCATAGTCTTAATGATGACAGTAATAGTCCTAATAGTAATCTGTAAAAATACAGGAGTATAAAGACAGTCCATTCATAGCAACAAATATAGTAGTACCTAAGAAATAAGTGATTTGTCATGGATACTATATATGATTTCTTACAGATACATAGTAAATGTGATATTAACTACATTTTAGCTCGGAATTCGAACATTACATATTCTGATAGAGCGTCTGAATTCAAAACTACATTTTTCCCCAGTGAAAATAATGGAATGGTAATTAAGAATCAACATCATAGCACCCGAAACACTCCCATAAGCGCTCCATTCCCATCAGCTAGCGAAGAGTTCCAGTGGCGCCAGTTACTGTCTGACTACATTCGTCTCGCCCTTCCCTTGAGTGTTGAGCTTCGACCAGATCCCTGCTAACTCCCCGCAGTGCCATTCTCCTCAGACTAATGATCTACTTGTGCCTCGGCACTGTTCACTCGCTACCAAAGGGTCCTCACAACATCGAGCTTGTCACACATCAGTTCCCCACCACGTCGTGCAGAACTGGCCAGTCTCTCTCTGTCACAACACACCAGTTAGCTTGTCACACATCAGTTCCCCACCACGTCGTGCAGAACTGGCCAGTCTCTGTCTGTCCCAACACACCAGTTAGCTTATCACACATCAGTTCCCCACCACGTCGTGCAGAACTGGCCAGTCTCTCTCTGTCCCAACACACCAGTTAGCTTGTCACACATCAGTTCCCCACCACGTCGTGCAGAACTGGCCAGTCTCTCTCTGTCCCAACACACCAGTTAGCTTGTCACACATCAGTTCCCCACCACGTCGTGCAGAACTGGCCAGTCTCTCTCTGTCCCAACACACCAGTAAATATCCAAAGGAGGCTAACTACCCGGGACCTCTGAAGCAATGCTTGCAACTCTGCACAGAGCATGCCTGTTTCTACCTTTCTCAACATACTCTGTGACTCAAGTTACAATTAGGACATGTGTGTACAGATGATTCTCAACCCAGAGGAAGGCAGCATTGACTCCACCATCTTTCTCAAACTAGACAGTGTAATATATATAAAAATAATGGAAACAAAATTTAATCTATCACAGGATCCAACAAACTCAAATTTTAAAATGGATTTTCCTAAATACAGTACGCTGTAAATATAGTAACAAATGTTGATCATATCTGAATAAAAAACAAATAAAAAGGGTATATAAACATTGCAATGACTGTACCTTGATAAAAATGGTGACACAGTACACAGACATACGAGGAGGAAGGGGTATTTAGGGAGATTATTGTTTAATAAGGAGGCACCTTCAACATCAGGAGTCCTCTCTGGTGCTTCATAGTGTAGTCTTTCACTGCTTGTAAAGGGTTTGGGGTCACTAGTTTTTGTTGACTGATAAAGTGCTCTGATGTTGTCAACCATTTTTTTCAGGGCTTGAGTTTTCTTCTTCTTCTTCGCGTTCACCAGCTGTAAACTCAGGCAGAAAGTTCTGGTTGTTCCTCCACTTCTGGACTGCAGTCCTGTTCCAGAACCTGAGTGTTGCCTGTGCATCCGTTTTACAGATCTGACTCATTGGTATGCAGACTGTTGGTTCCTTGCCTCTCAGGCAGATGCACTCCGACTTTGTATATTTAGTTGACTCTTACGACATGCTTTTGGGTAAGCAGTGGGTCTATTCTTGTTTTCCCTACAATAGGGCCCTGGAACCCACATGGAGGGATTGGTTTTTCGAGAACATAATCAAAAGACCTCGCATGTCAGCAGTAATAATCCTTCCTCTTGTTCCTCCCGCTGCTGGTAAAAGTGATAAAGCTCTTATTTTGTCAGCTCTCTTCTATACATTACATAACAATTAAAATAAATAATCTCCCATTTCCACTAAGCATAGCATGCATGCAACTTAAAAAGCATCCAATGTGACTTAAAATGTATCCATTCATTCAACTGTACATCTCTAGCAGAGTAAAGATAAAAATGACTGCAACATGTACAGAAACAGATAGGTTAATACAAGGTGTCTCTAATTTGGTTCTCATAAACGTTACCCGTCGACCCCTCAAACGATAACAAGGGTGAGCGGTGACGATGCTGAGCCAAGATACCACATAAGACCATGCAGCTGACACGCCCTGACTTGCTCTGTGAGACAGGAACAAAACATTTGTCAGCTAGTGAAGCCTGTGGGGTGGGTGCTTGTTGTGGAGTGAGTTGAAGCACTTGGGTCGATGGCTACAGTGCTTGAGACTACTGCCCCGGAAATGTGCCCGTGAGATTTCTGCACTGTTGTATGCTGTGTTGATGTGGGCGGAGCTCAGTTTGTCAAAAATGAGAAGACATTTGTGTCCCCCTGTGTCGCTAGTCTTTGTTCGCTGTGGGGGTCAACTTGCACGACCAGTGAGTATGTAAAGTCTTCAATGGCTGTTGTATTTGTTGCCCATGACCGCAGCACATGTACATGTAATACTTGTAAACTACAGGAGTTTGTTTTAGCATGTGCACCATGTCCTTGTTGCCAGGAAAGTTCAGTGTGAATGGCTTCAGGTCTGCATATGAAAATGGTCAATGATACTTGTCAAACTGGTAGTGAAACGTTTGTATATCATGTGCTGCAGGTTTGTCCTGCAAGCTACGGGTATTGCGGTGTCATTGTTATGTCAAGCACACAGTATGTAGTGAGCATCATGTCCTATGTGGGTGTTTGAGACAGCGCTGGTGTGAAATCCTCACAGTGAAAAGTTTAATGTCTTCATGTTGGTTTTTGGATGTTGCAATGCCGTATGGACAAATCCTGCAACAGTGTGGGTGGTCTTGCTTCTTGTGTGTTCGGGAGTGACAGATTTCCTGGAGTTGCGTGTTGCATCTGATTGTTTCGTAGTATTGTAGTTGTCCTGTTGTTTGGAGAGAAAGAAAGTGCACAGACAATTTGTGACAGTAAAGAGTATAACAACAATTTGACTCCTACCTCCGAGCGCTGGGTTTGTGTAATCCCAGCTATCAGCATCATTTCGAATGACATTTAAACGTGTTGGCTGGAAAAAAAAAGAACAACATGCTAATTCAGTGGTTTATATTCAAATATAACTGACTCATGCAAAATTGTATTTTTAAAATGATAATTTCTTTATACTGTAAGCTTTTTTTTTACTTATCCTGTATATAACTAACCAATACACTAAAAATGTGAAAGAAAAAATGATTTATCATATGGTATATTGGACATAACATATTTACAATTATGTGTTTTATAAAAACTGTATTGTATGTATACTTTATCATATAATTTAATGGATAGACGAGTTTAGCCAATTATCTTTACAGTCATTTACAATTTTATACTACGACAACTAAAAGTGGTGGGCGCCCACAAAGAAACTGATCGACTGCATGATTATCCCAGAGAAAGGATGAATGTGTTGTTTGTTGAGTGTGGCAAACTGCAGTAGATTACAAGAATGACCGTCACAAAAACAATAAAACCAAATGCACAAAATTGAAAAGAGGTATATTTGTTACTAAACTCACAAATTCATTCTTACCTTTGCATACTCTATTTTAAGAGTACAGCACCCAGAATAGATGTCGGCACCATTCAGTGCCTGCTTTGCCCGCTTGGCTGACTCCACATTGTCAAATCTGGCTTAGTTAAGGAAATAGTTTGTACAGATTGCATATGACAATAATTAACCTGTACATCTCTTTCCAGCTGAGCACCACAAAACAAGTCATTGCTTCAAGTACCAATATGGCAACGATTAAATTCTCCCATGACATGTTCAACGTCAGACCCCCAACTTGTGCTAAAGTACCTTGTTTCCAGCAAGTCTCTTAATTTGTATGTTCTTGTTTGCCTTTTCATGTAGCCTGTTTTTATGACGACCCACCTCCCCCCATCCCCAATAATAAACAGTTCGGTGTAACAAAACAGGCACACCATCATCATCAAGTGCCTCGCTGCCTGTTGTGGGTGATCATGCCTCTCAGCAACCTGCAATCTCTAACAGCATGTTTCAGTTCATGTGCTGACACCCCTCCATGCCATGACAAAAGCTGTCAAGAATCTTCTCATGTTGTCTTACCCTCTCTCTCCTTCGGCAAATATTTACAAGTGGTCATAAGACAAATTGTCTCATTTTCTTGCTCTAAACAATGAGGGCTATCTCCTTCTGATGTTTATGACATTTGTCTTTGTGGCCCCGCCTCTTTTAAAACAAATAGGCTACTTATTCTAGCTGTCATAAGAACTGTAAGCCTTTTTTTGTTAAAACTACATCTCTGAGGCCTGAAGAAACTGTTTGGCTTATTTACTGATCGTCCAGGAACACTACAACAGCCATGCACAAATACTAAGCACTTCAATATTCATAAAGCAGCATATCATAGGCTGTAAATGATGAACAAATCTGGTCATGTTGTGCTAATCAACAAAGTTAACACCACCTTGTTTTAACACCTAGATGAACCAACACCTTTAAATCCAGGAAATGCACTCTAGCTCTCTCTGACTATCTACAGATATTATAACACACGTTATCTTGCCATGGTTGTAAACACCCTTGAGCTTGAAATGTGCCCAACAGGCTGCAAAACAAACGCCTAAGGAAACTGCTAAACATTAATGGTGATGAATTAAGAAAAGCAGAAAAGTTAGAGAAATGTCTGAAGAACCGAATGTATTAAGCTACATGAATTGTTAACAGGCACTGAAATGGGAAACAGATATGCAAGAGAAACCCTAATATGGAAACTGATGAGAGAGGCCAAAGTTTCTAAACTGGATTCTATCCATGATATTGAAGGGACCGCACTGTCAGCCCTGTATGACATATAATAAATAGGACGATGAATTTCCATTGAAAGAGCAAAAGAAGTCGGTGTGCTCTATCTCTAACACTCATAAGACAGAATCCAGACCTTTCCTGTGTGGCCACAGCTGACCGTGTGTGTGTGTGTATGATATATTACCAGATATATAACAGCTGCTTTCTGTTAATCTAATTTTCAGATGACCACAGACCGCTCTGCAGGCAGAAAGGATACTCCACCATTGCTTGAATACCATTCTTCTTGAAGATAACGATCCTCTGTACCTGGCCATACGGACTGGTTATGGTGTGCATCACATCCTGAAAATCATTGGAAACGTTATCAGTTTACAAAACTTTACACTTCATAACAAAAAAAAAAAAAAAAAAAGGCATAAAAGATAGGAACTTTATTAGGAGGCTTGATAGTGGTCATGACTATATGCTTCATCTTCTTCTTCTTCTCTTCCACCTTTTACCTCATCGAAGTGTCAGGGGAGATGGAATGTTCGTTGATGAGCTCTGTCAAGAGCACTATTAAGACTGATGTTCATTTCTGTAAAGCTGTTCTTAATGCCATCACTCCATATTTTCCGAGGTCTTCCACTCGCTCTATACCCGTTGTAACGTTTTAGTGTGGCTCGCTGTGGCGGATAGTACCAATGCATTCTTGTTAGGTGTCCAAACCACTTCATTTGTTCTTCTTTGATGACCTGTAAGACTGGCTTTATTCCTAGCGCCTCAAAGACGTGGATTTGTTTATAACTGACACTGTCTCTCAGGCCTATACTCAGTCTTAATAAATAAACCCAAGAGTAAAGTACTAAATCTCAACTCCCCAAGTGGATGGCTGGTGGTGACGGCCTAAAAGCGACACAGACAAAAACATGACAAACTTGTGCACACTGTGAACTCACCACAGTGATGGGATACTGGGGGTTGACAACTGTGAACAGCAAGATGTGGTTGGGAGCTCTAGTATCTTCTTCACTGAAATACAAATATATCTGGTTTCACACATGTCTCCAGTCTTCAACAACGCAAATGAAAACAAACAGAAATATCTTTCCTCTGACATAGATACTGCTGCAAAAGCTATGGATTGTGCAACAATTAAAATAAAAGCCTTTCTCAGTCATAACTATGGACTGATTGATGCAACCTAAGGTCGGAAAGGTTCTAATCACACAGTCTGCTATTTTAGAGGGTTCTTTTCACGAGTTTCACGGCACAAGTCAGAAGATACAGACTGTTTTAGTCCCTGCATTATATATTCCATTCTACGTTTTTTTAAAGGATTTTTTTCAGGAATTCCTATGAAAGACGCATTTTTGTTAAGCATTTACAAGGCAAAAGGATTAAGAAGTCTGCTCTTCCCAGTTGACTGTGTCTTATTTTCTCACGTAAATTTCAACATTCAATATCTCTGTTACCATCTCCTAGCTGCCACAGAGAAATTTTTTTTTAGGGTATGCATTAACATCTTTAAACAAGAAAAAGAATAAAAGCCAATTAAAACAGACATCTTAAGTGAAAGATATTCAGTCTCACTATGGAGACTTTCAGTCCCAAGCATATGCTTTATTTACTCACTCTGTCCTAGGTTGTTGACAAAATAATAACAGATTTTGTATGAATTAATATTAGAGCCGAAGTAATATTCTGAACATAATGGGACTAACGCAACAGATGGAAAGGCAATAAGGGTCAATAAACAAAATAATCTTTTAGTACATGTCTTTACCACACAAACAAAGCATCTGAGTGTATATTTCTTTCTATTTATATAAAAAAAAATTCTTGGGTACTTGGACTTGTTCTAGAACCTGAGTGATGTGTGCACATCTGTTTCACAGATCTGACTTACTTGTATGAACTGTTGGTTCTCTGCCTCTCAGGCAGATGCACTCCGACTCTGAAGAAACCCTCTATTAGTTGATTCTTACAACATGCTTTTTGGATAGACCGTGGGTCTATTCTTGTTTTCCAAAAAAAATGGGGCCGGAAACCCACACAGGGAGTTCAGTTTATGAATATGTGTATCAACGCAATAACATGATTTCTTATTACTTCATGTTCGGTGTGGGTAAACAAAAGAAATCTGGCCAAATATTATACAGCATAGTATATGCCCTATCTTTGAAAATCATATACTGATGCCTTTTTAACCGTGATTATTGTGCCAAACTGGGCCTCTTCTCTAAAATCACCCAGGACTGAACAAGCAAAGTGCTGCATTTATTTTGTTTAAAAAAAAATTTATCACATTAAAAGGCAACAAAACTACTCACCCTGGTCTCTGAATCTTCTGGCTGAGGGAATAGTTGAAGAACGCCGGCTGTCCAGCACAATAAATGGAGTTTCCTTGCTAGTAACAGAAAAAGTGAAAACATTCTGCTGTCGGCTGTTAAAAACCTCTTGTGAGTGAGGGTATTATTTAACACGAACACCAATAATCTACATGAATATACTTTTAATGATATTTATACAAAATCGATATGTCTACAATTTTTAATATATGGGTTCTTTTCAGCTTTTCACCTCATCTTGTCGGCCGTGAGATTTGGTACAGAAATCCTAGGCAGTTCCCCAGAATGTCATATAGCACAGTGGTTTATGTTTGTGCCAGTAGGCGTTAATTTAATGTTACGACACTAAACAGAGTAACACCAGTTTAAGCTGGGTCGCTAAGTGAATTACAGAATACAGTGACGTTAATACTAGAGACAACATTGCAGGTATAGATTAGCTAATTCAGGCAAGCAAAAAAAGATAAGGAAACTCACTCTAACCCCCGTATACTACAGGGCCTTACGGGAAACTACCTAGGAATTCCCAACTAAATCTCGCAGCCAAAGAGATGAGGTGAAGAAGCTGAAAAGTACCAATATATCAATTGTGAAAGACCCTGATAACCCAATAACCAACACAGGAGCCAAACCTGATGAAATGTAATGCTTGCAATGGAATGGCACAACACTCTTTAAATAATGCAGGCACAAACAAGGTATAATTTATTGCCTGTATATTTTAATGTGTATCTGCAAACATTTGTTGTCTCTGTGTTATTTGAATTCACCAAGGGACCAGGTTATGAACAACATTAAAGAACTAATAAGCACACTTACCTGGCAATATTCAACACAGTTCTTGGCCCCATTTATGTCCTGAGAAGAAGACATAAGCAATTAATGTAGACAAGTTATTCAAACATTTTATATGTGAATTACCAGGCCAACCCCTTATGGGGTTTACAAATGTAGGGTAAGACACTGGATAACAGAGCAATGGATGTGAGAAATCTGGCAACCAAACATGAGTTGCAATCATAAACCAAACATAAATTGGTTGCAACAGGGGGTCAAAACTCAAAAGCATAAATTTCGGTCACAACTCAAATGAGTAAATTTTTGGTCAAAATTTGGGCTACTGTGGCTTAGAGGTTAGTGAAATGGTTTCACAATGCAATTCTCAATATTACCAGGGATCGATTGCGGCAGTTTGTGATTTCTTCTTCTTCTTCACTTCCTCTTTTACCGCTGTGGGTGTCGAGGGAGGTATAAGGTTCTGTTTCTAGCTCTTCTGGCCGCCTTGACCATAGGCACACCGTGCTGTTGTAGAGTTTCTCTGATGTTATCCTTCCATCTTGTTCTTGGTCTACCTCTTGCTCTATGTCCTTCTTCTCTTTCCATGTATGCTTTGTATTTTATGGTGTCACAAGGCATTCTCTCTAAGTGGACAAACCATTTCACTTGCTGCTTTGTACGTAATTTAGAATTGGTTCTGTGCCGACTTTTTCTCTTATGATCTCATTCCTGATCTCATCTCTTATGGTCACTCCTACAGCCCTTCTCAGACATCTCATTTCCATGGTTACTAATTTTCTTTTATGGTTTGTTGTTGAGTGACCATGTCTGGCACTGGTAGCACAGAGTTGGAATAAATATGCTTTGAATAAGATGTCTCTTTGTGCTGACTGGGATTGTCTTATGCTGTAAGAGGGGGGCTAGCTGTCCCAATACTTGGTTTGCTTTACTGCATCTAATGTTAATCAGTTTGTGGCTTGGAGGCGGAAAAACGTGGCTTTTAGACAGTGGTACAAAAGTTGCACTGTGGAAGTATGGCCTCACCGGAAAATGTTTCCATAGCAGAAATACATTGCAGTAAACCTCCACTGTGGAGCCTATACAACTACTGTTTTCAACAGTCAAAAATCCACTATATTAATTCCTCAAAAAGCCTATGCAGTTATACATCCATCAAAACAATCCACAGGGCTGCATCACAGATACAACTCCTTCTACCATCTTCTTATTTCTGCCTTTCACTTCTCACTGAAGTATAGGCCCTCAACCAACTCATGCCAAGCCCTGACTGTGTTCATGCTGCTTACATTCTGCTGCCACAATTTTCTACTGTACGAGGGAGCCAGTCTCTTGCAAGACTCTTCTGAGCGTCTGGAAGCAAGTCAATAGATACAACTATCTTGGAACAGTCATAAAATCTGATGCAAGATGCATCAAAACAAGAATCACTGTGGCAAAAGTGGCCTTTAGCAGGCTGCAAAAGATATGAATAAGATGATGTAAATTTCAGTGAGAAAAAAAAATGTTAGTTATGTCAACCCTGTGTTGTCCATTAGTTGATCACAAGAGAAAACTCCAGGTGTCACACTGGCGTAGTTGTCCGGTGCTCACCTGCCAGCCCAAAAGTTCTGGGTTTGGATAAGAATCAAGTAGGATTTTTAAAACATACCTCCCAGATCCAAGTAAAGTCCTGGGAAGTAAAAGCCGGCCAGTGTGATGCTAACCACTTCACCCGTAGAGTGACAACTGCTCTATCAACCTAGCATCATATGCCAAATGATGTAAGACAGGTCTTTTATTTCACTTTTTTTTTTAAAAACTGGAACACACAAAATAAACACAATTTAAAAAAAAAAAAGCATTGCTCCGGAGAAAAATCTTACCTCAAACTCAATCAAAGCCTGGCGCTTTCGAGGCATCATCATAACATCCCTATGGGGTAAATAATACATTAACACTATAGGCAGGCAGAATAACACAAGCTATGCAACTGGCAAAAGACAGGAAACCACACACAACTCCTCTATGATGCATAAGCAGTAAGATAAAAGAAGAGAGATATGCAGCAGAAAAGGCAGAACTTCAGAAACCAATATCATCCATTCAAATAAATTTAAAACAACTTGCTTTGTCTCAGTCTGGTAGTTAACATTTGTCTCATGCTGCTACTGTTAAAATGTAATGTCTCATCCTGCTAAAGTTAAAATGTAATGTCTCATCCTGCTACTGTTAAAATGTAATGTCTCATCCTGCTACTGTTAAAATGTAATGTCTCATCCTGTTAAAGTTAAGTAATGTCGCATTCTGCAAGAGTTAACCTATGTCTCATTCTGTTACGGTTACCGTGTAATGTCTCATTCTGCTACAGTTAACGTGTAATGTCTCATTCTGCTAGAGTTAACCTATGTCTCATTCTGTTACAGTTAATGTGTAATGTCTCATCTTGCTACAGTTAACGTATAATGTCTCATTCTGTTACAGTTAACGTGTAATGTCTCGTTCTGCTAGTGAATAAGTAAATTTTTTAATGTCAAGTCATTCAGCTAATGGTAATGTAAAGTGATTTTGGTACAATTGATATAAGGTATCGCCTCACCACAGGGTTTTTTTCTAGAAAAAGTGCCAGTACTCATCACAAATTGTCTAAAAAGGGGCCGGTACTCCTAACAAAATGTATATTATAGTAGCATACAAAAATGATACCTAAAGAAAGAGAGAACAAAAGAGTGCCAGTAATGGGCATCATTGCACAATGCCTAAGTAAGACTAAGCATACAAAAATGATACCTAAAGAAAGAGAGAACAAAAGAGTGCCAGTAATGGGCATCATTGCACAATGCCAAAATAAAAGCCCTGCTCCTTACCTGACAGCCCCAAAATGCTGGACAGCTTCTGCAAGATCCCCATCTGTTGCCAGCTCTGACAAGCCTCTGACATGAACACATGGTGATGGTGGTGGTTTGAAACGATCCTCAGGATCCTGTGACACACAGAATGCAACAGGCACATCAATGCTTCATTACACAAAACTATCAGAGATTGTGTACATACACCCAGTGACACAAGTAGACAAAACACAGGGTGCTTGGTCATCACAGTAGGTGGAATGTTTACTTGCCACCTGAATTCTTAATTTTAAATGAGAAAACTGCTCCATTTTGTGAAACTGTTGCCTGATCTCAGTTGATCCGCCATGATGCATCAAGCTTACCACATACAACAGATGGACCATCATGGCAAAGAATTGTTGCCTATAAAATCTTGATATGTTTTTTATGATTAAGTTTCATGTTGAGCCTCTTGCAATTCTGGCAATGTTTCATTAGTCTTTCTAGATAATCTCATATTCAGGTGAATTTAAATAACACTTTCGACGCTCTGCAGGATATGACACAACAAAGAAAATTGTAAGCAAATCAAGCCAACCGGTCTCATAAAGAAATAGAGTGGTACCTCGGTATACATTCACTTTGGTAAACACCCATCGAACTCGGTATACATCCTGTTTAGATGCAAAACATTCTGCTGGGTATAAAACTTTTGTTTGGAATACAACTCAACTCGCATGCTAGAACTTGTAGGAGTCACAACACCATTACACTAACCTCGTTTACCCAACAAAGCTTAAACATGCCATTACAGCATTATCTGGAGGGGGTGAGGGGGGGGGGGGGGGACCTATGTCACATTTCCTAAACATCCAGTTTTGCTGCAATGTGTTCGTCGGAGGAAGTTCGCATTTTACATGTGATTGAGGTCCTGTCTGGGTGTTAGGTCGCCATATGTGGCCGTTATTCAAAGGATAGCAGGCTTCGCTTCTCTCATTGATAACGTTTAGTTTACCTTAGGGTCCTTCCACAACAGTCAACCTCTCTGTTTCCCATTTAAGTGCCTTTTTTGTTTCAACAATTTAAATTTTTGGCTCTCCTTTAAATAACGATCGCTAGCTGGAAGGCGACGGCCGCTTAGTCGGAGTTCACTCCCCTGGCTGCAGTGCAAATACGGAGCGGACAAGTCACGAATCAAAAAACAAAGTGAGGTCGACACGTCTGCTAGAGCTATACCACGCGCTGCGACTGACAGTAGCGACCGCGGTCTTGCGACGCAAGACTCTCATAGACCACGCACTGCGACTCACATTAGCGACCGTGACGGTGTTCAGCAATTTGCGGTCTTTTTGGCAATTTCCGTTACCCGGAAACCGTTCGAAACTTGTTCGGGAAATCTCGGCTGGTTTCCGGATGGGTCCAAATCTCTCATGAAATTTCGCGATTGGTGTGAATTTGGACTAGCTAGAAATAGCTGAAAACGACGGGAACGAACCCGATTACAAGCACAAGTTTACGACAGCCTGAATTGCTCTGTTTTTCTGTTACATCAGTTTGATTGAAAATTCGGTAAGTATTCAAGGTTGGTGTTTAGTTTTAGCTGTTACTAGACATGGTAATGTTAGTTATAATTGAATTCTCCGTCCAATTTTACATTTGTATATAAAATTTCTTTCTTATCAGTGGCATTTTAGATTTACAGTGACATTTTTCGCTATTGTGTGGCTGTGTCTGAAAAAAATTGTCTGCCATTTTGTTCAATGTAAACAAAGCCAAAACGAAAGTGCGCAGTTTGATTGTGCAGAGAAAACTGGCTCTACTGGCAAATTTGGCCGGTAAGCTGGACTGCTTCGGCCGGCTTAGTGGGGCTTCGTGGGAGTTACGTCCCTTGGCCAAACTCGAAACAACTCAAAACAAGTGGCGGAAAAAGTCACGAAACAAATGACATACTTACCTATCATCATCCGGGTGCGTGTAGGGTTGCCTAGGGTGTCTATCATCGTCCTACGGTTGCGTGTAGGGCTGCTTATTGCGTGTAGGGGTTAGGGTTTAGGGGTTAGGGTATAGGGGTTAGGGTTTAGGGTTAGGGTTTAGGGGTCTGGTTCGATGTGGAAATTTTCACGTAACAGGTCGAAATAGTGGCCGACAATCTGACGTTTGTGGGAGTGGCGCCACTGAAACTCTGTCAAATATGATGATGCCAATAGCGGGCGGCTGGTGCCCAGTCGCTGGCGAATTGACCGTTTCACCAACATCCACAGACCCTCGATTGTTTGTGTGTGTATGTGACTGTGCGCGACGTCGACGAAGTTGGTCTGGTGGACTACTACCTCGTGCAGATAGATGCCATGCCTTAAGTTTGCGACGTTGCTGTAGCCTCGCCAAGCGTCAGTGACGATGGTCGTTCCCGGCAGTACGTGATCTTTTATAATCCTCTCCAATGTCGCCGCATCTCGTTTTCGCACAAGCTCCAAGTAGCAACGGCCAGTCTCACGCTCTACTAGCCCGACGATCCAACGACCGTAACGGATGCGACCGCGCTGATACTTTCGTCGGAAGAAGTAGCTCTCTGTCTAACTGCCATTTTGCTGTTGTGATTTGATCCGTGACGACTTTTTCCGCGACTTGTTTTTAGTTTGGCGAAGGGACGCGAAGGGACATAACTCCCACGAAGCCCCACTAAGCCGGCCGAAGCAGTCTAGCTTACCGGCCAAATTTGCCAGTAGAGCCAGAAAACTTCTTGTTTCTGGGACGCAAGTTTGGACAGCTGTTTTTTACATCTCATCTCCACAAAAATCAAAAACCTAGATATCTCAGCTCAGAAATAACATACATACAAGCCTAAATGAGGTACCGTTGGAAAGAGATTGTTTACAGCTATCTAACTGTGCTGTTTTTATTGGTGTAGAGGGCATTTTGAAAATTTGACTAAAGTAGCTAGTTCTTCCGACGCAGGACTTAGTGATCGTAGATGTGAGACCTGCGGATCTGTATGTCGTAATGAGCCATAAGCTTCCGTCAATTCCGTGATCATCACCCTAACCCTACCACTACCCCTAACCCAAATCCCAACCCTAGGATGACAGCTGGTAACTTAAGTAACTATATCATTTGTTTCGTTCCCTCTTTACCACTCCGTATTTGCACTGCAGCAAATGGAGTGAACTCCGACTAAGCGACCGCGTCGCCTTCCAGCTAGCGACCGTTATTTTAAGGAGAGCCAAATTTTTTTGTTTTTCTTTCATTTTGTAAAGAGCCGCACAACAGCGTAACACCCTTCTTCCCCCCCCCCCCCCACAATCCGGACAAGGCATTTGTACAGCAATATCTTTGCTAAACACTAAAAAAAAAGTGGGAGAGCAGCCTCATCTTTTTGGAAACAGGTACGGCTCAACGTTGCAACGAACGCTGCCAATATCCGACATGATGACCTACTTTCAACTTTGTTCATGAATGACGGACGCGTGTTTGAGTTTGTACCTCTATCGCTTTTAACAAAATGCATCCGTTTGAAACGCTAGTTGAGTTAATATTACAGCGAAAGTATTTAAGAATACGATAAAACTACTGTAACTTGTCTTACCCTTTTACCGTCATCGGTACGTTGACGTTTATTCGAATGCTCGTAATTATTCGCCATATTTGTTAGCTTACACCTAAACCAGCAGGAAGGCCAGATTTTGTATGATTTTCATTTCAATTTTCTTCGCACTTTATTTTATTTATTTCAATTAAACCTTACTTTGATAGTGCATACAATATAAAATGTTTGTGTAAACATTATTATATTTCTAATTATTTTTTAATGTAAATAATTTATGTTACTATATATTTTTGCCTTAAAAATTTAATTTCTGTGTATAAAATACAATAACCAAACTGCCCATCTTTCAGCCTCGTTGTTGCAGATGCAGAGACACATGATAACCGCACTCCCATCATGCTTCTGACGTGACGTTAACCGTCAGAAAAAGTGAGTCAGACTTTTAACATGCACAGAAAAACGTTACGTTTTCCAGTTAACAAAGCTAAATCATATATTTACTATGGGTATATATACTATATAAGAAGAAATAATATGTAGAAACAATCTTGCTATTAAGCTTTGGTTGTACCATTGATCACTGGCATCATGAGAGCTAACAGACTGAAATGGTTGGGGCATATTAGGAGAGTGTCAGATGACAGAGAAGTGAAAACTGCATACACAAGGGAGATGAATGGTCAGAGACCATGAGACAGACCAAGAAGACTATGGAAAGAAAACTTCCAGACAGACCTGCAAACAATTGGTGTCACCAACTGGAAAGAGAAGGCCAACCAGAAAGATGAATTGAGGCGAGTGATGTCTGCAGCAATGAACCCCATGGGCTCGTAATGCTGAAGAAGAAGAAGAAGAAGAAAATGATACTCTGTTGTGGACTCTAGGGCTGTACCGAATATTCGCTTCGGGGCCGAATAGTGGACCTAAAAACTATTCGGTATTCGGCCGAATAGTTGCGGTCGGGCCGAATACGAATAGTGGTTACCTTACACCGGTTTCTGCATACACTGCAATGTACTTAAAAAACTCTCTCATTAACACAATAGGTACATAAGGTACAGAATAGCGACATTCGAGTTACTATTGAAACAGAAGTGAATAACTACCTGTCAGAGCCGTGTATCCCAAGAGACACTGACCCACTGGACTGGTGGAAAATAAACATATCAAGATTTCCCACCTTGGTTCATACTGTCAAGCGTTATCTTTGTGCACCACCTACTAGCGTACCAAGTGAACGTCTGTTTAGTACAACTGGAAATACCTTCAGTGAAACGAGAAGCAGCCCTAATGCTGACAACATGGAACGATTGGTTTTGTTGAAAGCTAATGCCGCTTTCATGCATTAACTAAGCTGTTAGTGACAATTTACAAGTTTAGTTACTTGTTATAAAACTAAGAATACTTTCATTCCTAGGTATTAGTTACCACAGACTGACTGGCTGAAGGATGCAAAACATGAAATGTTTTTGTTTACTATTATGTACTACATTTTGTGAAGCAAAATTTCAGCTTACATTTGACATTATAATTTTTTTTTTTTTTTTTTTAGATCTATTTTATACACTATACACTATTCGAAAGTTGAGGAATGGGCCTCAGTTTGAATAGTGGGAAGACAGAAATAATGGTGGTATCAAAGAAAAGAATTATTCCTAAATGTGTAAAAAATGTCAATGGTGTTATTTTGGGACAAGTACAGAAATTTAAGTATCTGGGCACATGGATAACATCAGATGGAAGATACATTACTGAAATAAGAAACATAATAGGACAGACGAAAACTGCATTTTATAAAATGAAAAACATCTTATGCAAAAAATCTTTGTCATTGAAGGTTAGAAAAAGAATTCTTGCTTGCTACATACATCCAGTTTTAACATATGGCTGTGAGTCCTGGACAATCGGTAGGCAGGCCAAACAATTTCTTGAGGCCTCAGAGATGTGGTTTTACAGAACAATGCTCAAAATACCTTGGACAGCAAAAAAAAAAAAAAAAAAAAAGCAACCAAGAGGTTTTGAAAGAGGCGGGAGCCCGAAGACAACTAATCACAGACATCAGAAGGAGACAGTCATCATTTTTCGGCCATGTTACTAGAAGAGGAAAAATGGAACATGTGGTGACCACTGGAAAATCTGTGGAAGGAGGGATAGAGGAAGACAACAATAGAAGATTCTTGACAGTCGTGTTGCATGGCATGGAGGTGCGTCAGCACACGAACTAATACATGCTGCAAGAGATCGCAGACTGTGGCGAGACATAATTGCCCACGCCCGACGACAAGGCACCTGATGATGATGATACACTATTCGTGTTCGTATTCGGCCGAATAGTTGGTCCCGCTATTCCTATTCGGCCGAATAGTGAAAATCACTATTCGGTACAGCCCTAGTAGACTCCTGTGTGTCTAGTACAGCCACATATATATCTTCTCTCCTCTTAAAACCTTCTTAGGTGTTGTTTCGGTGCACGTAGGGTCGTCCATTTGCTTTTGCTATAAACCCCCATGCACTGATTCTGCCTCTCAGCACAGAACTATTTGTATGGATAACCACAACAAAGGGGCAGAAATTGTCAATAATCATGTGTTAAACTTCTGATAATGCAGTGCTCACTGGCCATTAACTACTTTCTCGGCCCAGTGGGATTAGAACCCTACACAAGTCTGATTGCTGCTCAGATACTTTGACCAGCTCCTCTTCTTGTCCAATGTTATCAAACCTGCATACATGTTTAATTGTATCTTCAGCTTGCGTTATCCAACACCTCCCTTTTTCAGTCTGACCCTTAGTTCTACCCAGGGCTTCATACAGGAGGTTTTTCTTGTCTGCAGCTACTCTGTGATATGACTCTGCTTGCAGCACTCTGAGCATATCTGTGATTTGTCGCACACATACTGCTGGGATCTATTTTGTACAGCTTAGATCAACCCCAACTGCTTCATTTCTTGTGTGCATTCCAAGTCCATAATCTACCAATGAGATTGTCAAGTTGAATGCTGAAACACTGTGAACAGCATCCTTGCTTCTGTTTGAGAATCGACATCACAACACTCGGGACACTCCCATAAGTTCTCAGTCCCGATCTTCAGCAGCAAGCGAAGAGTTCCAGTTCCAGTGGTACCAGTAACCGTGTAATTGTTTTTCCGTCTCATCCTTCCCCTGAGTGTTGAGCGTCGACCAGATCCCCTGATTGAGAAGAACATTATGAACAAATAAATAAAGAATTAAGTGAACTAACTACAAGATTAACCACTTATAATAAAAAGAAGATACAGAAAAACTTTGGTTTACAATTTCAGAAGACATATGCGGAGATAAAAATCACTTTCCATTAGTATCAAAATCTATACTCAGTACTTGGTATTACCTCATGTCTCTTCAGCTGCATACATAGTTTTTAACTCTGCTTAACAATATTAAGATAGTACATCCACTCTTCTTTGATGGATTCGAAAACCAATGCATTGATGAGATCAAAGATATTGCTCCAAGACAGTAACTGCAACTACAGCAGCTTTGTAACAAACTGAGGTGAGAATGGTACACTAGTCATATAATAGACGAAGTACTTCAGATCATATATAAACTTGAGTGTAACGGGGAGCTATCCTAACGAACTGGTAGTGCATATCAGGGGAGCTATCCTCCGAATAAGGTTAGTTGCATACCCTTTACAGGACGTTGCAGAACCAACCCCAATAGCTCCTGGCAGTTGTGTGGTTTTCCACGTCCGGCTGTATAAATCTGGAGCTGGCCGTGGGTTTTTCTAGGCAAATTTACGTCCAGTGGGAGTCGCCGTTGCCGAGCGGCTAGACGCTCGCCACGGGTCGGAAGGTCGTGGGCTCGCTCCCTGACTTTTTCAAAAATGACCTTTTCTCCCAGGTCGACTCAGCCTTGAGTGGGTACCGGGTGCAGTCCCGGGAAGTAAAGTCGGCCGACGTGATGCCTACAACATCACCCATCTTGTGCTGATTGGTCTATAAAAATATAGGTCTAGTCTTGTATGCCATAGACGCGTGCCACACAGGCGTGGAAAAGGGTCCTTTACTTTTTTATTTTACTTTTTAACGTCCAGTAGTTTGCCATTGATTTCTGTACGGTCGGCTTCTTTGATACCACTGTCGAAACCAACGCAAGGCGCATGGCCCGCAGTTGGGATCGAACCCGTCATCCCGGCATTACGAAGCGTTCGCATCGACTTAGCTACAGAGCCGACATCCTCCGAATTTAGGTCCCAAATTATCGAGGCTAAAACAAAAATACCCTAACAGGGCCTCAATGTAGGTGACTGCCGCCAGGAAATTATGCTGAATATTCAGTAAACAACGCGCGACTAGTGCCACCATGGTAACGTCGCGTCTGCGTAAGTTCCATCGATAACGTTTCAATCGATAGTGTCGCGGTTTTACTGTTGTGATAGATTCTGGTGGCGGTATCGTAATTGCAGTACTTCTTGCCCTAACCCTAAACATAGGACCCAGGGGAGAAGTGAAACCTAGGATCCAGGGGAGAAGTAAAACCTAGGATCCAGGGGAGAAGTGAAACCTAGGACCAGGGGAGAAGTGAAACCTAGGACCCAGGGGAGAAGTTAAACCTAGGATCCAGGGGAGAAGTGAAACCTAGGACCCAGGGGAGAAGTTAAACTTAGCATCCAGGGGAGAAGTTAAACCTAGAATCCAGGGGATAAGTTAAACCTAGAACCCAGGGGAGAAGTTAACCCTAGGACCCAGGGGAGAAGTTAAACCTAGCATTCAGTATCGAAGCTGTTGACACCCTCGATTATTTGGGACCGTTATTCGGAGGAGTGTTTCCCGCGGTATGCAGTATATTCACCGGAAAGAAGTCCGCAATTTACACATTACTGAGGCCCTGTTAGGATATTTCTTAGCCTTGATAATTTGGGACAGTTATCTGAGGATAGCCCAAACATTTCTTCTTTATTGGACGCATGTTCAGTTGCCAGTGAATTTTTAGCAGTAATTATGCGTAACATTTTAGCAGTTGGGATCGAACCCGGTACCCCGGCATTACGAAGCGTTCGCATCGACTTAGCCACAGAGCCGACGCTTTACTACTAGACATCTGATTAATAG